GCAGTGGTCCCCAACCTTGGGCCTCCAGATGTGTTTGGACTACAACTCCCAGAAGCCTTCACCATTACATCTGCAGGCCAGGATTTCTGGGAGTTGAAGAATATCTGGAGGCCCAAGGTTGAAGATCATTGGCTTAATGGAATTAGACAGGATAACTCAATCATGTAGTTTAGGAGTTTTGTGTGTAAGCAAGAATTTATGAAGGAAAATGGGTCTGCAGTGCCACAAATTTTTGTATTATTTGTTGTGTGCTGTCAAGTCACCTGTGACTTATGGCAGCCCTGTGAATGATCTCCAAAAGATTCTGTATTTTAGGCACCACTAAAACTCCAGCTTTTATATTGTTTGGAAATAAAGGGAAAACTGTTTCCTGCTCTTTCTGACTGTGGGAAAAGTTTGTATTCATGTTTGCTCTGGCTTCCGAAAGGTACGTGGAGAGTGCCAGTGGCTCCAGAGTGTTATGGAGAGAAAAGCCACTAACAAGTGTCATTTTTGTGGTTCTTGGATTTTGATAATTTGGAGAAAGTGACAAGACTGTGATTTCGACACCAATGACTTGGGATTTGCTTTTCAGTGTTTCTTTTCTAATTCTTTCAGTTGTTTCCAACAACAAATTAATGAAGCCCTATGAACCCTTAAGAGCGCTTGGAAGCAGGAGAAGAGTAGTTGTTCTGGTTGGGTGTACTCCACCTCATCATTTTATAGTCTGCTACAGCAGCATTAGCCATTGATCTCAGTAGCTTGGGTGATTTAAAAATATATATGAAAGGCGTCTCACCTTAGGGCTGGTCTTTAACTAGCTGGTTCTGGTTGCATCATTTTCTGTTGCTCTTTTAGATCTGGGTTGTGACTGTAGAAACTCTTTCTCATTCACTAGCAAAAATGATTGGTTTTCTCCTGTGGTGTGGAGGTTTCTCCCAGTGAGCCATCATAATTTCATAATTCCCCACACTGTTTCCTGTTCAGAGCTGGTAAATAGCATCCTGTACGTGTACAACATATTGCATCACAGCATCATTCCAAATTATTAAGCTAGCACAAAACATCAGCAATAGTATTGAAAATGAGCAGCACAAATAAATACTTGTTAAAACAGTGCTCCATTCAATCATCCAGATATAGAAGAAAGTAAGCATGTCTTTAAGGATCTCCATAAAAAACAGGCAAAGAAGGCAACATATGTATCTCCAGTACAGGATCATATTCCATATGTGCAGGGCCACTCAAGAAAATATCACATCCCTCTACAAGAAATGCGCTTTGGAGAAATCCTGAAATTCAAAGCATCTGTCAGTTGGGGTAAGGTTGGTTCCTCTATCCTCTATCACTGAAGACGGAGTGACAGATTCTAATGTGGACACTTCTAGGATGTACCTTGTTGTAGGTTATGGCACTGGCTCTATTGGAGCATAGTCTGACCATTACTGTCTGTGTTGGTCTCCTTCCATCCGTTTCCTAGACTTTTCTCTTGTATGTTCATTCCTAGGCTTTAAGCGGAAGGAGACTCGTGGGAAGTTGGCCATTGGCATCACCACCAACTTCATTAATCACCATAGCCGGGCTGAGGTGGAGGTGGCTGAGATCAGTGGAGTAGCTCGCATCTACAACCAGAAATTCTTCCAAAACCTCTATAACAAAACAGGTCTGCATGCAATACTTCCTGACCTACAAAAAATGGTGACATTTCCTTGTGCCTCTCAGCTGGTGTAATTTCATGATTGTTATCAAGAGAAGACAGGGAACAAAAGAAGTCAACCTGTCTCTTTAATTATATTGATCTGTCTCTGTAGCGTCCTTTTGTGAGTTCTAATACATTCAGGATATATTATTTGAAAAACATATATTTGCTTGTTTGAAGTGTATTAAGCAGTTGAGGATTTTTGAACACAGCGTTTAGATTGCTTTGTCAAATATATACAACTTTCTGATTCTGGAAGTGGCTGATAGCCATCATGACTAGCAGCTTTTGGTAGACTTAACTTCCATGAATTTGTCTAGCCTCTTTTTAAAACTTGTTTTAACCTTTTGCTTGTGTTGAAACAATGCTAGGTATTGACTTGGAAAATATTGTCTACTATAAAGATGATACTCACTACTTTGTCATGACGGCCAAGAAACAGAGTCTACTAAAGAAAGGGGTCATCTTAAATGTAAGTCAAAGAGTGGAAGTTCCAGCAAATGTGATACTGACATATTTTGAATTTATTCATATGTTTTTGAGAAGGAACATCATTACAGACTCAGAGCTTATATATATATATGCAATTTCTGTAGTTCGAAACACTCCTACCTCTTCTCTGTGGCACAATAAGAAAACTATCCCCAGATAAAATAAAGTTAAAAGATACAAAAAGAAAATAAAAATGTTATGAAAACACAAACAGTTAAAGGGGGAGAGCAACTACCGTGGCCTGCCAGAGTCGGAACCCCTCCTCACTTTTGCAGCAACAACTTTTTTCTGCAACTTCTATAGTTTGATGTTTGATTTGGTCCTTGCAGGTTCTTTGGAAGAAAGCAGCTCAGTGAAGTTATACCAGTGCTTTGCACTTATGGCCAATTGATATGTTTTAAACCCCATTCTCCAGTGTGATGCCTTTCAATATGTGGAAAATATTTATTGGGGAGCATACATTTGTGTGCATGGGTGTGCATGTACAGATCCATGACAGCTTGCAGCTACTGGTTAAATGAATTATTATCAGCTTGTGCTTTTAGGCTATCAGTTGGTCTAATAATGGATAATAAGACAAACAGAGTTTAGAAGCCACTGGACAACATTATTCATTATTGTGTTCTGTCTTCCTGAAATTTGAACACCAAATAATATAAGATTGTAGATGATGAAAAAAACTTTTGAGAAGGGAAAGAATTAGTGGTACAGTACAGCAGACAAGGTTCATTGGTATTCTTCAGTGCACTGTGGGAGGATCAGGATGCTTTGATGTGGTCATCTGGACAGGTACAATCTTTTGCTCATGTATAGGCATCACAACCCCTTATTAGAAGAAGGTTTCTGATGTCTGTGACCCATTGTTTTAATTATTTGGAGTCCTCTGTGTCCCCTGATAATCCCAGGAAGTTTAAGCTTAAAACAGAGTTAGCAGCCCTTCAAGAGTAATTGATGGCTTTGCTAACATCCCACTGAGGTTAAGACATTGTTAGTATATAAAATACAATGGTGTCTGTTCATCTCTAGGACAAGCTGGACATAGAGAGCCTGCTGTCTGCCGAGAATGTGAACCAGGAAGCTCTTCTTGCTTATGCAAAGGAAGCTGCCAACTTTTCCACCAACTACCAGCTCCCCAATTTGCGCTTTGCATTGAACCACCGCAACCAACCTGATGTTGACATGTTTGACTTCACCTGCATGAGCCGCTCAGATAATGCAGCTTTGGTGCGTGACTGCAATGATAGTAAGCTGCTCATCGGATTGGTGGGAGACTGCTTGGTAGAAGTAAGTGCCTTTTAATAGGACTGGGACAAAGATATGGATGGGGCCTTTTCCCAGAGGGGGTGTTTCCAGCAGTCTTTGTTGAATTTGCACTCAGAAATATTTCCACCCAAGTTTGAGCTACATGTCTGGAAAATCACATGGTTTTGCTATTCTGAGACTATACAAAATACAGTGTAGAGCGTGGGGGTGCTTGCTTTATTAAATGTTCTCCCATTTAGAATTCTCTGGTTGTAAAGAAGCCTGGGTTAAAACAACCCATGTGAGCCTGGGGATTGCTGCCTTAAACAGAGGAACATTGATGTACATGATCTCCTTGCAAGTGGTATCGCCGCAGGAAATTTGCACCAAGGGACTTTCCTGATTCTGTGGTTCTGTTCTCATTCCCATTCATTTCTGTAAGATATAACATGCAGATAATTGCATGCAGTTCTTGCACTCTTAAAGGAAGAGCTGCACAAATAAGAAATATCACTCCACCCCTTCGGGATGTCAACCCTGATGCAGTGGGAAGTGTTGGAGAAAAGGTGTTGAAATCTGGAAGGCTGCTCTTTAAAGCTGGTGAGAAACCAAGATCCAGGCAACATGCCATCTTGTTTCAGTCTGTGCATTTCTCAGGCAGCAGATTGTCTGGGAGAAAGACACAACAATTGTCTAACTGGGCAGGAAGGCCCCTTAGCTTCTAGAGCCTGTGATACTTCAGGATATCCTTTGGCTGGGAATGGTACATGCTGTCTCTGAGTCCTGCACCTTTGTGTTTCTGTTTGTCTAGCCTAGGGGCTCATCCAGCAGCTGGCAAACCCAAAGTGGCCCATCTGGCATTTCCTTTGCAATTCCACGCTGCACTGTGTGGTTTTGTGTTGCAAAGATCAGCTTGCCATCTGACACCTGCAATGAGCTGAGGTGGGTGGAGATGAGGAGGGGCCCCATTTACAGCAAATATTTCTCATACACATGTCTTGTACAGAAGGGCTGTTGTGAAATAATCAGTATGCCCAGACTAATTTCAGAATTCCTTTTTCTGATGTGCATGTTCCAGTGTGTGTTTTACTGCAAACCAACATCTGAGATACCCTTTAGACCTGTTTCTTTAACAACTACCCACAGAGCGTCCCTCATTCTTTCTCATTCTCTCTCTCTCTCTTATTTTATCTTTTCCACATCTTGAACACTATAACTATTGTTGTTCTCTATTTTATTATGTCACTTTTATGCCATTTTTATTGTTAGCTGCCCAGAGTAGACTTGGGTCTAAATGGGTGGGGTATAAATTTAATTAGTTAATTCTCTCTCTTCTCCAGCCATTCTGGCCCTTGGGCACTGGTGTAGGTAGAGGCTTCCTGGCAGCTTTTGATGCAGCCTGGATGGTGAAAAGATGGGCCTCGGGGACCTCTCCCTTGGATGTGCTGGCAGAAAGGTGAGCATTCTCAAATGGTCTTGTTTTTCATCCCTGATAATAGGGGCATTTGGGGCAGCGGATTGGTCTAGATGTGGTTCATTGTAGAAAAGAGGGACATAGGGTTAGAGAGTCTTGTACCAAGTCAGTCCTGCCTGTGGAATGAGCCACAAGATGGCAGGTGATGTGGAGGGGAAGGAGCAGTCACCCTTTGGGGGACAAAACAGTGTGTGTCAGACCGTCTGTCCTGAATGAGCTAAGCTAGTCATCTGCTCTCAGATGAATGGAGGGCTTCTGTCTCATCATCAGGGGTTTCCATAGGTGGACTAGGGAGGAGGATGTAGTCTTCTATCCCAAGCTGGAAAATGCCTTGGGCTCTGACCCTGACTTCTTGTTCTGAAGGGCAACATCTCAGGCACTTTGCTCCAATATCTCCAAGTAAACTACAATTAGATTGTCAGAAATGGAAGGGAGTTGATTATGTCTAAACTGCAATCTAATAAACTATCATGGTAGAAATGGAAGGGCGCATCTTCAGACCGCCTTCTGCTTACCTAACAATGAAGTTGCACATCTTCAGGCCGCCTTCTGCTTACCTAACAATGAAGTTTTAGAATCTGGGTGAAGGAACTCTCAGCTATCCAGATATTGTTGGGCTCCAACCTCTTACAGTCCTCACCAGTATGATTGATGGTTTGGGATGATAGGAGTTGTGATGCAACAACATCTGAAGGATCATGGTTTCTCACCCTGGCCTAGAAGGATTCTCTGTGTTACATTTATTTATTACTAGTAATTTATTTATCACTCTTTTATTCTTTACATCAGCAAGCTGAGCATGCATTTTATCCTTGTAATAGCATCATAGAGATGTTTGGTCTAAGAGGTAATACTTTACACAAGACTCCCCAGTAAGTTTAACAGCTGATGAGAAAATTGAATTTGAGTATTTCTATTCTTAGTCAACTGAACTGGCTTTTAGAGCACCTCTCTAACAAGGTGATGAACTTTTGGTGACCATTACCCCTAGTCAGCATAGCCAAAAGTAAGGCTGATGGGAGTTGTAGTTCAGCAACATTTGAAGGGTGGTACATTCCCAATCTATCCTAGAACATGGATTTGAATTCGGCATCCTTTGAAAATTCTGGATGCATCAAAATGGCAGACTTCTTGTACTATTCATGAGAGTTCCATGTGCAACCAGTCTCTCTCTCTCTCTCTCTCAATCTCTCCATTCATGAGAGTTCCATGTGCAACCAGTTTCTCTCTCTCAATCTCTCTCTCTCTCCTTAATGGATTTTTTTGTGGCTAGAAAAAGGACAAAAGAAGGCGGTGGAAAAATCTGGGAAGATTACAAATGATAGTGAGGCATGCCTGCTTGTCCTTAGCTCTGAAATAATTTGACTGATGAGGCAGGGGCAGTTGTAGGATAAAAGCTTTGTCCCCAAACTCCCTTTGGCTTTCAAACATTGCAGGAAGCTTCTTACTGGGGGAGAGACAGGAAAAACTAACATGTTCTAATGGAAAAGACTCCATTTAGTCTAGTAAGAATGGCCATTGGAAAGGTAGAGATGTGCTCTGTAATTGGGTATCAAGCTCTTTTGTGTTGAGATGCATCTTAGCAGTGGGCATGAATTGGTATCCTAAAGGCCAAAGTGCATATTAGACACAGCCATCTTTTCTACTGTGTTTTTTCAGAGGACCCCAGAAGAATGAGTTTAATATATGGTACAGTGAGAGCCCTTCATCTTTTTAATCTCTTTCCTCTTTCATCTGTTTATCTGCTCAGAATTATCCCTCTCACAAAGAAAGCACAGGTGACTCATTCCCCTCCCCAGATTTGGTTAGGTCAGTTGCCTCTTGACAGAAGGCTGAAGTCAGAAGTCACAATCTCAATAGAGTTCTAGTAATATCCAGGAAACTTCAGGGCTGCATGTAACAGTGCTCAGGAAAGCTACTTTTTTGGGCCACTGCTCCCAAATCCTGGAGATCATTCCTTCCTAATCTCTTCCCAGAGAAAGCTTATATCAGCGGCTGTCACAGACTTCGCCTGACAACACCAACAAAAACATCAGTCAGTACAGCATTGATCCTACTACACGGTACCCAAACATCAACCTTCAAGCCATCAAGGCCTCTCAGGTACCTTGCCTATTTATGAGGGAACATAAGGGTGGTGGGCAAGGAAGTGGCATCAGAAGGTTCTCTTGCTCCCTGACTGCCTTCTTCTTCTTCTTCTCTTTGATTTGTTGTCTTGGCCTTTTTATCTGGGATTCCTAAAATTTGGCACCCCACTGCACTAAGCCATGTTTCAGCAAGTAGCAGAAATGTGTCACGACCCTGGTGATAAGGCCTGCAAAATGTCTGCCCTTCAAGATGTTCTTGTTTTGTTCTCTACTGAGAAATGACAGTCTTAAGCATTTGTGAAAATGAGAAGATGAGGACCAGACCAAGGGTTGAGGGAACCAACTGAGTTCTACTTTGCATCCAGGCTGGGATCAAACATAGCAAGTAACTGACTGCATCTATCTTCAGGTTCGCCACCTTTATGTGACAGGAGAAATTGAAATGGACCAGAAGAAGAGGAGAAGTCATGCTGGCTCAGAAATAGTTTATAGAGGTAAGTCTTGAGGAGTTCCTTCTCTAGGCAGTAGGCTATATTGACCAACTTCCAAATAAGCTCTTGCCTGCTTGTATTCTCTGTTGTTCTATCCCTTAGAACCAGGATTTTATCATAGTCAAGTGAAATTTTTTTTGCACGTTGATCATAAGAATAGTACAACTGGAAATGACCTTAGAGGTCATCAACTCCCTGCCCTTCCTCATGCAGAATGTACAGTGCAGGCTGCAATCCTTATAAATGGCTGTGTAGCTTCTGCTTAAATACTGCCAGTAGAGGAGAACCCATCCTTCCTGAGGATGTCTGTTCCTCTATCAGAGAGCTCCTGTAGTTAGGACGTTTCTCCGAATATTGAGTTGAAATCTGCTTCACTGTAATTTCCATCTTCTGTTATTGTTGTTATGTGCTGCCAAGTCATAACCAACTTATAGCAACCCTAATAGAGCTAAGTATTTAAGGAACATTTTTTTTTCTAGTTCCACACCCCCAGTGAGTTTCCATGACTGAACAAGGATTCAGACCCAGGCCTTTTGAGTCCTAGTCCATCAGTCTATACCACACTGAGCATCAAAGTTAACCTCTGCAATTGGAGAGTTTATTTGACTCCAGTGTGATTCAAACATGCATGCTTCTGATCTGGAATCAGACATGCTACAGCTGCACCACAAGGGATTCTGCTTTGCACCTGAACAGAATATTCATGGGTGGAACAGGGTGGATCCTGCTGCCTTTAGCTTTAAGTGTGGAAAAGGATAGGAATGTTAGGTGTCACTGTTACACACTGTACATGGTTTCCTGTAGACAAGATGGTGTATTCTCTGCTAAAATATATTTGATAAAGTTGTTTCCAAAGAAGTTGCTCTGCTAGCTTATACTATCAACAAGTTGGCAAAAGAAAAGAAACATATGATAAAGAAGGAGTCTGTGCTCCATATGTCTTATGGAAAAAATGTTTCTTTTGCCAATTTTAACTCACTGATAACAGTCAGGGACAAGGGATTTCCCACACTCCTTTTCCTTGCATGTCTCCAAGCACTGCCAAAATTTCTTTTTCCTCAACTCTTTCTTTGTCTTTATCCGGACCAGAACCTTGTTTTTTAAAACAGTGAGTCATGAGATTTTTTGGATGCTGAATTCTGCTTGACTTAGCCTGCAGGCTGAGGGTTTTTTTAAAAAGAGAAACTTTTCTGAGTTCTGTGCAGGATACAAATTTAAATCCAACATAAAACTCGAAGGAGTCTGCTAGGTCTGAGAGAACTGCCAGCAACATCTCAGAGAGAAGTTTGCCTGGCCTTGCTAACTGGCATGCAATTTTGGATAAATGCTACCTAATCTCAACAGGTATTTCACCCCATCACATGATTTCTTTTGGATTTCTTCCAATGTCCACATGTCCCCATAAGTACGTGTCATGTACCCTAGTAGGTAAAGATGGAGACGGAGGAATCAGAAGCCAGTCACATTAATGTAGCTGTAAAACCCTCAGGTCTGTTATAGTCAGCCAGTTGTCTCCAGACAACACCATGATTTCCTCCAGGAGACATGGCTTAGTTTTCCTGGGGCATTGCTAGTGTGTTCCACAAATCAGCCTTGTTGTATTTTGGCTGCCTGGTGAGCATGTCAAAATTGTCTTGAAAAAAAGATAATTGAAATCTATTCCCAGTAAAGCTGATGACAAAATTTCCTTTGATTGTAGTCCAAAGCAGGATGCAAAAGCCCCTCTTTCCTGACAGAATCAGACTGGCTATGTAGAAGTATATCTGCTCCTGCATTGGTGCCCTCTCTGTTCATCCCCCCCAGGACAGAAAACACATATTTATGACAATCTTTTGTTTTCAAACGGTTGCCTTGGTGAGGCAGATTTCCTGCTATCCAATACAATATCATACCAGACCGTTTCATTCTATAACAGTCTGTCTGTCTGTCTGTCTGTCTGTCTGTCTATTTCATTACATAACAATCTGTCTGTCTGTCTAGTTTAAGACCCTTTCATTCGCTGCTCTCTACAAAATAATCTAAATATGCCACACTTATTTCTCTCTGTGTTCCCTGAAGGACCGTTATACTTTCTAGGTCTGAGGTCATCTATGTATGTACCCATCTTTCTCAGTAGTTCTCTGTTGCCTCTTTAAATTACAGCTCTCTCTTGTTTCTCCTCCGTGTTTTCTCATGTTTCCTCCTAGGCTTCATTGTTTCCATCCCCCAGTCTGTTCCTCTTAGCCATCTCCTGACTGGTTTTGTCCTGGTATTGAAATGATTTGCAAGCTTTGGGGTGATTAGGAAAGAGAGGACGGGGGGTAAGAATGGATCCTGAGCTCTTGCCCCTGAAGCTTTAGCCAATTCAGTTACATTAGGCTGTTTTTAAGCTAATTGTTCCTGGGTGCAAGATTGCAAAAGGTAATGTGATTCCTGTACTGGTTCCTGCTCAGCACTGCATTGTTCTTCTTTTAAGAAGATATATCTCGATTGTTCCCCCTTCTGCAGCAGAGCTGTGGTTTATATCCTATGAACTAGTGGGACTTAATGCCAACATAACAGGTCCCATTCATTAAACAGGCCTATGCTGTTTGGAACTAAAATACTGGATTTATTAGTTCAAACATCCCCACCAAGCAAGCTGGCTGGAACTCTTGGTGGAATCCCATATGGAGTGCAATGGCTCATCCAAAGATTATTACGTAGTAGTATTGCATAAGTTCTGCCTGGTGGTGGTCTGACCTTGTTTTCTGAGATCCACTTGGGAAAGGCTAGTTGACAAAATTTTAGTATGGTAAAGAGATACCTATAGTCTAATGCAGAAATCACTAGACTGGAAAGCAGAAATGGCCAGCAGGGGTGCTGCAGTGATTGTATAGTTGTGGATTGGAATTTGGGTGATCCATGTCCTAGTCCCCATCAAGCCATGAAACTCACTAGGTGGCCATGAAGTCGTCATGCTCTCTCAATTTGTCCTCCCTCATAGGGTCGTGGTAAGGATAAAATGGAGAGGAAGACCGTATATGCCAACAAGATACAAGTACTAATATGCTAATCCCATAACTGAGAAGGGAGTTGATTTTATATGGCTGTCTGGTAAAATCTCTGTGTCCTACCATGCTCACATTTCTCTGTATTCTTTCTCTTTCTACTCCTCTTTCCTCAGATGCCAACAGAGCCTCCGAAGAGCTCCTTAGCTGGTGTCAAGCTAACACAGTCAGTTACCATAATGTGAAGGTAAAGGACTTCACACACTCTTGGAAAAGCGGCCTAGCCTTGTGCGCCCTCATACATCATTTTCGACCAGATCTTCTGTGAGTGTCACCCCTTTGGAGAAGCTGAAGGTGTCAGGGGGAGGGGGGGAATACTTGCTAACCTTGGGCAAGGATGTTAAGATAAATTGTATTAAAAAGTCCAAGACTTGGATAAGTAACCTGTTGGATAAGTAACCGAACTGGCTAGTGTTTCTCAAGATTCTAGGATTTGTAGCCCAAACAAGTTACTTTTCTAAGCTCTAGAGAGAAAATCCTATATGACAAAGCATGGAAATTCTTCATTCACTGCTTGAAACATGTAGAAGGCTTCATGTCATGAATACTTTCTCAAAATGTAATTTAAATTTGCCATATGTAAGTGTATTTTAAATTTATAGAAAATATAGTTAGAATTTGTTGATTGAATTGCATTTTTGAAATGGTGAGCAATCTGTGCAACACACACACACACACACAGAGTGAGAGAGAGAGAGAGAGAGAGAGTATGTGTCTGTTGTGGCTAACAGAAGGATTTTGATTGTCCTTCAGCAAATTCTTTGAATTTTTAAGAGCCAAAATAAGAACTAGTTTATGCATGTTGGTACATGGCTTGAGTATGTGAATGGACTGCATTTTTAAAAACTAGGTACAAGGAGATGTGCAATAGTGTGTAATTTTCTCAGTGGAGAGTAGTAGCTGATGGACACACACACACACACACACACACAGACAAACATACACAGGTTGAAATTAGCATCTTTGAGTGATGAACAGGCATGCACATATAACTGTAAGAAGCTCTGTGCTTGAGCCAGAGCCTAACAAGCCTTCAAGATTTTGATCACTGACGTTGTGATTTGCTGCAGTTCTCCGGCAGTCTGTACTAATCAGCACCTTAAAAAAAAAGAAATAATAGGTGGTTGCTATAAATACCTTGAGTGAGGTGAACATTGCCTTCCGGGTATTGTTCCTACTGCAGAGAAAGGCCCATCCAACTTTAGTTTTGGATGATGTTTTAGAGTCAAGGAGACTCATCTGTGCCTCGAACATTGGGGACAACCTGGATAACCTTTGGCCTTGAGTTAGCTTTGCCCTGCTGTCATGGAGTGCACTAAGCTATTATCGTGCCTCAAGCCTCTTTCCTTAGTTGTATAATACTGCCCTCTTACTCTGCCTCTCTCTACAGTCATAGGAAATGGAAGGCAGATATAAAAGCAAAGTGTGGGCATGGCCTTCAAAACATGCAACTTCTCATCATGATTATTTTGCCACCATGGCTTCTCCTCTCTCTCCCTGGTGGGTGTTCAGGGACAAACCTATTCCCAGACCCAGAAAAGGGGTGGGGGTAGCTGCTTTATGCATTTTATTTGCCCATGTTTCGTGATCAAGAGAGTCAGATCTGTCTTTCTTTCCTTGTCCTACGGAAAAATGGAACAGGAAGAAGAAGAACTGGCTAGTGTTCAGTTACTGAGAACAGAGCTGTGTTTTCCAAATAAATAAAAGTAATTTGTGTGATTGCCTGCTGGTGTCTTAACTCATATAACAGCTGCTTCACATGAATAGCTTGTCATACGTTAGGAGTTGCTGTGCAATCCTTTTTTAACCCTCATCCAAATGGATGCAATAAAAACAGCATTGTATGAGTTTGGGGATATTTTTGGACTGTATGTAAATTCTAGTATACTGAAGTTTGGCAGTAAGATTAGCGAAACGGTTGTATTTCTTGAGAAACACTGAGAATTTTAATGCATTCACATCTCACCCAAATGAGGCTAACATACAAAGAAGCAGAATATGTGATTTCTGCTTCTTGCCATGGCTTGGTGAACAAAGGACATTCTTAGTCCCAATCATTTGATAGGAACAAAAAATGAGAGAAAATAAAAGAAAGAAGGTGCTCGTAAGATGAAGGGTAGTAGATGAGTTGGGATGATGTTGGCTCTACTGTTTTGTTTTTGTACATGGCAAATGGCTGAAATTTAGGATGTATTTACAACTCTTTGGGTGATGATATTTTAGAATGCCTACTATGCATATCTTTGAATTCTACAATGAAATGAGACTCAAGAGAGACTGAAATCTCTCCTATGGTTGAATGAGGGTTAAAATAGCTGAAATGATGTTTACTTTCTATTTTAATTCTATGGTTACATGAGACAGATAATCAGACGGACAAACAGGTCTCACGCTTTCTTACAAAGAGCCCAGGGCTATTTAAAACATGTTTGCTCTACAGTTGAGTGAAAACCTCCTGGAAGAATTTATATATCAATAGAAGGACAAGACAGTTCCTACTTTCAGGCCCTCAAGGAGGGGAAAAAGTGAGCCGAAAGCCTGCTTTTAACACTATGGAATCCTGAGAACGGTCTGCTGGAATGGAAAATAGGAGCCAAAGGTTGCTGGTCTCTTAGTGGATCTGAGAGAGCTCTCTTTCTTTTCCGTTTGCCCTTGTGGCATCTTGATGGGATGACCACTGCCAGGGGATGAAGGGAGGAAATTGCTCAGTTTCTTGGCAAAGGCCAGGCACCCCCGACTTGTGACTTCCCTCTCTAGAGATTTCAGGTCACTGGACGGGAATGACCCCATTGGGAACAACCAGCTGGCATTAGATGTGGCTGAACAGGAGCTGGGCATCCCTCCAGTCCTCTCCAGCACTGAAATGGCTTCGATGTCTGAGTCAGAACAGCTTGGCTTGATCACTTACCTGAGCCAGTTTCATGATGCCTTCAAGAGTTCTCCAGGTAGGTCTGAGTTCTACCACTGAACACCTAATTTGGCAGGCACAGATCCTGTGGCACAAGTGACAGACCCTTCCCCTTGTCCAGAGAGAGTACACACTAGGGGAGGCTAGTTGAGAGTTGGGATGAATCAAGGGCTGATAAATGAACATAGATGCATAATAAAAATGTTGTTCTCTAGTATAGTATCCCGTTTCCCGTGGTGGCCAACCAAATATTGATAGGAACACCACAAATAAGATATAAGGTCAAGAACCCTTGTCTGCTGTTATTCCCCTGCATTTGGTATTGAGAAACATGCTGGCTGTGATCTTGGAGGTTGACTATGGCCATTAATAGCCACTGATAATGACCATGTCCATTGGTCTTGTCTCATCTTAAAATCCTCTAAGCTGCTGGCTTTCACGACATTCATTGGTGCTAAATTCCATACGGGTCAGTTTGGCACAAGGGAGAATGAAAGAGCAGTGCAGTTTCTGGAGCGTTACCAGTTTGGGCCATCAGTCTCCATTTCTTTTGAGACCCTGTTACTCTCATGATGCTTAGTATTTCACCTTGTATCACTCTGGTTGGAGCAAAAGCTGTCCTGTTTTTTAGTTGGGTGATGAGGTTCAAGAGCAAGGTTAGGGAATCTGTGGCCCTCCAGATGTTGCTTGCTATCACCATTGCGATGGTAATGAAAAGATTACAGTTAAATGCTGTCATTCCCTTTCAGAATCTTGGAAAAGTTACTCTTTTGGATTACAACTGCCAGTGAAGTTTGTGGTGTGGTAGTCCAAATAGACAAGCTGTCCTCCTTTCTGTACTGAGAGAAGGGGGGTCTGATATGTTCCTCAGGCTAGACTCACATCCAGGAAATACTGTGTACTCTCTTGCAGAGCCAGAGGAGGAGATGGCTAAATCTTCAATGCTACGTGGCACCAAAGGAGCCATCCTTTTCCTTAGCAAGCTTCAGAAAAGTCTGTCCCTTTCACGCAAAAGGAACTTGGTGAGTCTGTCTGGCCAGCATCTTTTTGCTCATCTGTGACCAGGCTGCCCCCAGTGGTGCCTCCCTTTGTATCTTGTGTCCTGGTTAGTCACCCTCTGGTACCTGACATCATCTCCCTCCAGATGATTCTGATACCTGCCTTCTCGTTGGATGTCTCCGTTTAAGAAGGAGGGTGGGGGGTTCAACTTATCTTGACAACTCAGGGTTCTGGCCTTCTGTGTTTCCTGCTGTTCCAAAAGTATAACATTCGCTTGCAGGAGAGCTCTGCGGGGGATGCACAAACAAAGAAGACAAAGCAAGAGGCAGGGGTAAGTTCTCCTTTCATGGTGCTTAGTATTTCATCTTGCATCACTTTAGCTGGTACAAGGGCCATCCTGTTCTTCCGTTGAGTGATGCCTTTCTAGACCAAGGATAGGGAATCCATGGTCCTCTTAATGTTATTGGACTCCAGGTCCCATCTTCCCCAACCTTTGGCCATGTTGGCTTGCTCTGATGGGAGCTGGAGTCCAACAATATTCAAAAGGTCACAAGTTGGCTCACTCCTGTTTTAGGGGTATAACAGCTCTCATGTGTATGCCTTGTGGCTGAATTAATGTCACCACATACATGATGCTCCCATATGGAAGGTGATGGTCAGAATCCTATTGGTATTTGCATAAGATCTGAATAACCTGTTGTGGCTAATTACAGTTACTTAATGAGGTATGTGGTGGTGCTGTGGGTTAAACTGCAGAAATCTCTGTGCTGCAAGGTCAGAAGACCAGCAGTCGTAAGATTGAATCCACTTGACGGAGTGAGCTCCTGTTGCTTGTCCCAGCTCCTGCCAACCTAGCAGTTCGAAAGCACATAAAAATGTGAGTAGATAAATAGGTACCACCATGGTGGGAAGGTCAACGGTGTTCTGTGTCTAATCACGCTGGCCACTTGACCATGGAATCTGTCTTGGGATAAATGCTGGCTCTACTGCTTGGAAACGGGGATGAGCACCGCCCCCTAGAGTCGGACATGACTGGACTAAATGTCAAAGGGAACCTTTACCTTTTTAGTGAGGTACTGGGGATTGTTCTGATTGTGTATCTTGTCACAGAACTGATTGTACAACTGAGATGCATCCTGGCACCTTACCATTTAGCTGTGATTAGCCACGGCAAGGGACACAGACATAATGTTAACACCAATTGGATTCCAGCTACTGCCTTGTAAAAATAAATAGGAAGCCCATGCAAGTTAAGCTCATGTATGCAGATCCTCACTGCATCTTGGGATGACATGCCCAGCTTTGGCTCTATTGTACATATATGCAGCAGTGAGAAACCCTATCTCAGCATCATTATTATACACTGATTTAATGCATGTTTTCTGCAAAATTTGGATGTGCAGATGCCATTGATGTAGGAATCTGCTTATGTGTGAAATGACTCATAGAGTAAGGAACTGGAGATTTGTCTGGTCCAAAGCAGAGATGGAAATAGATCTTTACCGATAATCAGAAAAATAAACAGAAACTTCTCATTGTGATCCAGCATTGCAACATATATTCCTAGCCATTGCATTTGTGGGAAATTCTTAGTGCTTATGATTTGAGTTCCTTTTGAGTATCTAGGTTTTCTAACCTTTTTACAAAACTAGAAATACAGTGCACAGAATATATTGACTGCAACTGCCATATGGCTAATAGCTTCCAGACCACAGTTCAAATATGAGTCCCAAGGGCCAAATTCCACCCGTGAAAACTGAAATTCAGATGTCATTTAGGAAACATCACCCCTTAGACCCCACCCCTCCAATTCAAACTTGAACTTTGCTGGGGTCAGGAAAATGCTTGATTTTAGATGCTCAAATCAACTGGGAGTGGTTCATTTACTTTCCAAACCATTAAGCCAGAATTCTAGCTGGATGGACGCATCAGTGGCTGAAGGAGACAGATGTGTTTAGATGTGTACAGATAGCAGATGTACAAAGATTAGAAGCTGCTGATGAAACCTGACCAGTTGCCTTCACTCATGGGGCTTGTGTTCATTCTTCTGGAGGTCAGGATGTGGGGCTGCTAGTTCTTCTATTTCTCCTTAGTGTAGCTGAAGCAGATGTTAGACTAGAGGAAGATGGATGGAATTGGGCAGTGACTGAATATTTTCTTGCACTCTGCTGATGCAATTACATTCTCACTGGTGCTATTCTCTCTCTCTCTCTCCCCCCTCCTCTAACAGAAAGACAAAATCCAGAAAGTTTATTTTTAAAGATATTTTATTGGTACTGTCATCATTCCAAAGTAGTTAGTTACTACCCAAGCTGCAGTGTTTTAAAAGCAAGTCTTTCCTTAAAAAAAAAACAATTAAGGCTTCAATCAGTAAGATGACATACTGAATCATGCTGGAAAGGGTTGCTGCCAGGATGCAGTCTTAAAAGGAACTCTTTAAAGTGACCCTTCTGTCTGCTCCTGATCACACTAGCCCATTCTGGGAAAAAAAAACAAACCAACAGCCCTACCACTGGACCAAAAAGATCCAGACAGGGGATGGAGAAGGGTTGGGCTGGTTCACAATCTGCAGCACGTCATCCAGCTACTGGCAAATAGAATGAACCAGACCATGCTGTCCGCACACTCCAACATGTGCCCTACACTGAATAACCATCTGATTTCACCTAAAATAGTTTCCTGTTTAAAGAGCTGAAGCACTGGTGCTTTTTGATCATGATGTGTACGGCATCTTGACACATACTTTCTATGGATAATGGAATAGCGATGGATGCCTGGTTAGATACGAGACCTGGTCTTGCTTTCACTAGAAGCCCAGCACTAGTTCACACTAGGATACCTTCTTATTCAGCTCCATGCGCCTTTCCGTGGGTTCTCCCATCAGCAGTTCCCAACACAATGCCAGACCCACAGTCCTTGTTGGTTCTCTTACGTGGCAGCCCCATCAGAGTTGTGACTTGAAATGCTAAACACACAAGATTGCTTGGGATATACCTAACCATAAGAAAAGCATATATTACTCTTTTGACAGAGCCCACCTCTCTCTCCTGTGAGGAGCAGCGATGCCTGCTATATTTGTGGAGAACACGTGTACATTGTAGAGCGAGTCAGCGCAGAGGGGCGCTTCTTTCACCGTGGCTGTTTCCAGTGTCACCACTGTAAGACCACTCTGCGACTGGGGGACTTTGCCTTCAATGAGGATGATGGTAAGTGAAGAGAGGTGGCTGGAACCAAGAAAATGCAGATGGGAAGCTTGATGAAAGGGCTGTAGCTCAATGGGAGAGCACATGTGTTACATGCACAGTGTCAATTCTTGGCGTCTCCTAGTAGGGCTGGGAGCGATTCCCACTAGAGATGGGCACGAGCCACCAGTTTGGTGATTTCTGCCAGTTCAGCAGATAGGCAAACAGGTATTCTGCAGTGTGGTGCCCTGCCCCCTCTGCCGAATACCTGCCCAAAGGCAGCACCTGGAGGAAGTAGGGCAGGGAAGCCAGGACACTGCTTCTCAGTGGGCACCTGTTGGAGAGGCTGATGAACCACGGAACACCTGTTTCGCTGTTTGCTGAACTAGCATCAGTATTTACTACCAAAGTCCGAAATCAATTGTCTGAATTAGAGATGGGTGATTTGTGCCCATCTCTAATTCCCTAAGATCTGCTGCTAATCAGTGAAGACAAGGCTGAGCTAGCAGTGAACTGCCATAGAATAAGGCAGTGTATGTGGACCTGTATATGGCACAGAGACCAGTTATAGACAGGGTTGTGTTGTGTTCTTTGAAATCTGACTGGCTACCATTCTTTATTCTGTGTTTCTACTTTCTGCAGGCCCGGTTTTAGAATCTGTATCTACCCCATCTCTAATTATTCCTCTTTATTAAACTGACTCTTCCCTGGCAGTAGCATATACAAGTGGGCCAGATGTGTGCTAGCAACTTTCCTCAACTTGATTACTGCAACTTGATCTTTTTTGTTTTCAACTCTTAGGTAATTTCTACTGCAGCCTCCATATTTCAGCCGCCACAGATAGAACTACACCCAGTGACAGAACCTCCATTAAAGAAGAAGAGAAAGTAAGTGAGGTTGAGCACTTAATTTTCACAATTAAGAAGGGTTTGGTGTTTACTCAGCAAGACCATTCTTGAACTCATAATTAAGCCACCAACTTCATTAGATTATTTTGTACCTTGTCACAGGTATCTAGGCAGCTTATCTTATTATATGCATGAGGGATGGATGTACTTGCAACTTGCTTGCTTGTAAAGTTGATTTTCTGTGTGTGGTTCCTCTAGGGCTCCTCTGAGGTGGGCAGTCCTTCAGATGAAGGAATACTGAATTTGGATGCTGAGGAAGATAGGATGGAAACAGATTCAGATGAGAAAAGTCTATCTTCCGTCTTGGATCAGCTGCCAGGAGGCCAACCTGAAGAACTTTGGAAGTCAACTGATGATGACACCAGCCTATCTCCATCCAGGGAAGATGGAGACTCTCCCACAATTAATTCATCACAGCACTTGCATCATCAGTCCTCTGTTGCAGGGGATGTGGAATTGGGGAGCTTTGTTCCTGAGACCAGTTTAGCTTCACAGGCTGTAGATAAAAGTGTAGCCGATGGCAGGACTGATCCTAAAAAAACACTTGATCTAAGAAATTGGACTGATGGCCAGTTGCTGAGAGAGGCAGATGGACAATTCGTGAGAGAAGAGCAAGGAACTGGTGTAAACCCTGCCATTTCTAGCAAAGTGCTAACTGCTCCTCAACTAGAATTAGAACAGGAAGAGCCTGGAAATGCTCAGAGGAGAAGGATTTACCTGTCAACTCTGGAAAAACATGAATTATCCAGGCTGAGTCCTACTTCAGATTCGTTTCATTTTCCAGATATGATTCTGGAAGAATCCAGCATCAACAAAGGTTTTATTTATTTACTTACTTTTACTTCTAGCCTGCCCCATTCCAAAGACTTGGGGTGGATAATTAAGAGAGGATGGCTGCTCACCATAGAATTCAATGGCTTCTGATCCAATAAGTAGTCTTAGTATTCCTTGGACTTTACTACTAAAGTCCAAGCCTGTTGTTGCCACATGCTTGCTATGACCAGTTGCTTTTTATTCTCTGTATCCTGTTTCTGGCTTCAAATACTGTATCTCACTGAGCAGCCTGTCTATGGTGGAAGTGTTTTTCGAGAATTCTCTGCATCCTGTTTCTGGCTTCAAATATCTCACTGATCATCCTGTCTATGGTGGAAGTGTTTTTCGAGAAGCAGATAGGTTTGGACTTTGCAGCTAGAGTTGGGGGTGAGGGAGGGCAACATATGCTGCTGCTTTGTCTATTTCGTTGTATATAAAATGGGGTTTCTCTAGTATGTGGTCCCAAGTTCTGTTACGTTGTTCTTTGTGATGCTATATATTCAGGCTTCACTGTTGCTGCTTAAATAGTCATGTTGAGCTCCTCCTAGCAAAACAAACTTGCCACCATCATGGTTCATAGAGCAAATCTGTCTCTTATGGCCTGTCAATGGTTGTAAGCTCCGAGGAACCCTTCTCCTTCAGAGTAGCAATAGGTTGTTGATGGGGCAATCCCTGTTTTGAGTAGCCAATCAGATCCTCTCCTCCTCTTTGATGCCAGTTAATCTTCTGGATCTCGTTTTGTATCACTTTTCCCTGAAACTTTCCCTAACTTTGTTGAGGCCAAGCTTTCAAGTTGTTTAAGAAAACACGAGAGAATCTTTGTAGATGAATTGCAGCCTCAAGGTAGGGGAAGGGATGGGATTATTATTTTGAATGCAGCGCTTGGCAGAGGAGAGAGTGTCTGTATTCCCCACTTCCACTCCACATGGAAAATCACCCCCACATGCAAATAACATATCTGCACCTTGGAGCTTTAGGTGAAAAAACATCCCTGCGGGGGGTTTATGGGACCAATTTCCTGAAAACTCCAAGGTGCCCAGAGGAAGACATATCCAGTCAAAATACAACAGCAAAAGAATAATCAGCATTAAGGGAAATGCAGTCCTCTCCTAAAAGGTTTTGATCCTAATAAAAGCATTTATTTGGGCAGATTCTCTGGACATTGAAAGTGACAGTGAAGAGGATGAGGAGGAAGAAGAGGAGGAAGATGATGACTCTGGAGCACAGATTGTGAGTCTAGAGCATTACACTTGAATTCCTTTAGTAGACGGTCCTCTAATCACTCTCTTAGAGCAGGAAATCTTTATTTCCAATTTGTGTTGTCTTTTTGTTAAACATCCTCTTTCCACTACTACACCCTTCTCTTTCACCGAACTCATTTTTTCTGCTCACAAACACATATATCCTCTCTCTCTCTGTAACACCTTTCTTATTCTCTTTTCTAATCAACAGACAAATCTGTGGTCTTTCTTTTAGTCTGTCACCTGTAGCTGCTTTTGACACCCTTCTAAAATCTTTGTATACTTTCCTCTGCTCCACCACAGGTTTCTCTGCATTTTGTCTTCCCTTTTCCCACCTTCCACACCATGTTGGTTTCTCTACACCACCCCCTGTCTTCGAAATATATTTGATACTCCTTTCTTTTTCTCTTTCTCTGCCTCTCTCTTTTAGTCTTTCTGTCTCCCCTGCCCCATCCTAGCACGTCTTTCATTGCTTCAGAGAGTACCTCATATGTACTCATATTCCTTCAGTTTTCTACCTCATATGTCTGAAGAAATGGTTGAAGGTCTGTGAACGCTTACATTAAAATGCAACAGTTAGTCTTTAAGGTGCCACAGCATTTTTGTCTTTTTTATTTTATATATTTCTTTTTTGCTTGACATTCCTTCAGCAATTCATATCACTAAAGGACCCTAATAGGCCAGCTGGACATGGAGTGTAGCTACTAGCTGAAATGGGACACCAATTCCACCAAGCATTTATGATCTTGGGGGAGTGGGTAGGGCAGAGGTGACAGAAGCAATGTAGGAGACCACAGCGAGCCAGATTTTCCTTTGCTACCCCAACATTTTGGTGGGCCTTTTTAGGCTTTAGAGTTCTCAGGAACATCTGGCAGAGCGATGTGTGTTTGGAATTGCCTCAGGAGACTGGAACTGGCCCATGGGTCCATCAGAACAGCATAACCATTATATACTGAAAAAGATGACTAACCAGACTTAAAGAAAGCTCTGCAGATAACTCTTTCCATTGTAAATACAGGAAACACCCTGTCTGCACTTCTCTTTGTGACTAGAGAATGAATCAGTGCCCTGAAATGTCTTGCAGGTGCAGGGTTGTGAGTTGCTCTTGATTTAGTAACATGCTCTTACCTGGGGTTCCACCCCCCAGCCCCCCCCTTTCCCCTGCCAGTGCCTTGGGGTAGTGTATCTACTGCAGAGAGACTGGGCCAGGAGGCACTGTTGCTTATAGCTGAACCAGAAACATTGATGGCGTGGCCTGAACAGCTTCTAGAACTGCTGCTGCAGTTGCACTTTAGGTGGTGGGTAGGGCTTCTTTTTCCCTTTCCTCATTCTATTCCTTTCTTTTGATTCTTATCTTGTGTGTTGTGGTTGCAGCAATTCCTGAGTTTGGGGGAAGGAGGTCAATATCCAACGTGGAAAAAGACACTGATCCGACGGGCCAGGGATGCACAGATGAAGAGGTTTTGCAAAGCTCAGGTAGTACCTGTAAAATGGCGGGCAGAGGTGGGCCGTAAATTGTATAGCAGCCTCCTTCCAGTCTGCCACCCTTCAGATGAATTCCTCTACAATTCTTATCATCCCCAACTTTGTTGATAAGATCAACATGCAAGTTTGCTCAACACTCTGAATACCCTGCTAATTCACAACTGCACATGGCCCTTGTAGGAGACAAAGACAGTTTTGACCTCATGGGGAATTTGACTAGTGTCCTTTTTCTCCCCCCACCTCCATAAACAATCAGTTGAGTGCCGTACAAGTCCTGTTCCCCAGCTGCACACTGAATATGGGTGCCTCTTCGTTCAGAATTGTTCCTTCATTTGACGAATTCTTCATTTCTTGGGTATTCCAGTCAATCCAGAGACGGCTAGAAGAGATTGAGGTGACTTTCCGAGAGCTTGAGAGACAGGGAGTAAAGCTGGAACGATCCTTGAGAGAAGCGGGAGGTAAGAGTCTCAGTGAGGATGAGTCTACCCACTCATGAGAGAATGGAAGCTACGAGAGATATAAAACTTGTTATGCATGATGCTTTCAGGACAACACAACACTTCTTTTCTTCCAGAAACAGAATCTGAACTCAAGAGACAATGGATGAGCCAATTGCTCTCCTTGGTCCACCAGAAGAACAGCCTGATGTGTGAAGAATCGGACCTCATGATCACGTAAGAAGACTTACATGCCATTCTAATTAAGAGCTAGGGCACATGTTGTTTTGCAAAGGATTTTTGGAGGACAGCTCCCAGAATCTGCCAGTCAGCTGGGTGCCATACCATAAAAATGACTTGCTCAAGTTCCGTTGTTCTGGAAAAAAAGGAGCTGCCACAACAGTGTTCCTCTCTTAGGCCAGATGAGGAACATCAGAAGCCTTAGGCTGGGTTGTCAGGGAGCTGTGGTTTGCTCTCCTTCCACATCATAATGATTAGCTTTCCACATTACCTTAGTGGCACAGTTGTGGCTCCCACACTATCAGTCCGCAATAAAAATGTACTTTACTTTGGCATCTCTTGGCGGTGTGGAAAGATTCTGTTCTTATCCCATTATAAGGGGATCTGTCAGACAGAGCACGGAGTTCATAAATTTCTAGCACACATAGACACCAACCAATTTCAGTAAATACTATTATTCATCTCCCTTTTATCAAACTGGTTTTAAATAGTTCATTTAAAACAAAATGCCAGTTAATATAATTTGCTGTTACTACTAGTGTTTGATAGCTTATGATAAGCCTAAAATAACCTTGAGAGTGAATCCCCAGTGTTCAGTGGATACAAAGCTGGGACAGCACTAAAGTATATGTTGAGAGCCTCAGTAGAATGGCTGAAGAAATCTTCCTCCAGTTATATATTCTGCAGCTGATAAAGCCTTGCTAAATTGTACAAGTATCTGTTACCTCAAGCAACACAGATGAGGCAAACATATCTAATTCATGACTACTGTCACTCAAGTCTATGGGCCCTTTCTCATTTAGCCTTAAGGGATATGGCTATTTGAGCTCTACACAATACACAGGGTAATGTGTAGAGGATGGCTCTTAACAAAGGGTGGTTGAATGGGGCGACTTCTCTGGGTGATGAGCGGGAATCATCTTGTACTGCTGTCAGCTTCTCATCAAAACTGCTGAAATTCCCATTTCCTTTATCCCCTTAGGGTGCAGGAGCTGAAACTGGAGGAGCAGCAGTGCCAGCTGGATCAGGAACTGCGGCAGTACTATAATATGGATGGTAAGGAGGAGGATGGTGTGCCCACATTTCCTACTGGGACTGCAGCTATAAATAGATCCTACATTTTGGGAACAAAACATGGAGAAGTACATGACAAGTAGAATTTTTTAAAAAGTGTGTTCTCCAATTAGGGGTTTCTTTCTTACTTCATTAAAACAGCATTTTAATTAATTACTAGAACCTGGAGTGAACAAAATGCAGATATATGACTCGCTATTGCTGATTTTGCACCCCCTGGGGTTCCCCTGCTTCCTAGACTAAAATACAATAGACAATAAAATAAAATAAAAATTCCACATCTGAAAGCTTTCACAGGAGCATTATTGCTCTAAAAGGAAGTGCAAGGCTTCCTAATACCCCCCAATTATTATTTTAAGGAAACAGAGTGATAGAAACTGGAAGTGATTTGTTTTACAACTGCATGTTGGGGGCTAGTGCAGTCCCCGGTGTTCAAAGGAGTAGAAAATTGCCCCCCCTCCCATACCAAAGCTGCCTCCCTCCACAGAAAAAGATGAACGAACTAAACATTGTAGCCCTGGTGCTTACCCAAGTAGACATCCTGACTGATCACTGACCCGGTTTCAAGACTACTTGCATGACTGCTCTAAAAATTGGATATCCCCATTCAGATCTTCATATGCAGCCCATTTCTCATTTGTCTTCTGCAACAGCTGATTTGTCCTGGCAGACAAAGCCTGGCAGTGGGCTAAAATTGAGTGCTCTCTTCAAATGGCTTGTGCAAGTCAGTGGTGATCTTGTATCCCCAGGATCAGCTGATGGGCTTGTTACCTTTTATTCTGCTCACAGTCTTTGACCATCAATTAAAGGGTCTTGGCCTAGTTGACAAGGGAACCAAAATAACTTGCATGCAGCAAGATAGTAGGTACAGCTGACAATAGAAATAATAGCTACTAAATTATACTGACCTTGTTCTAGTTACTTAGTAGATGGATGAACCCTGGTGGCATCCATGCCTGCTGAACAGAAGCCTTGCCAACAGAAAGAGGGTAGGATGGGTGTATAGTCTTGCCTTACCTTTCTTCTTAAATTTGCTGAACATCACATAAAATATGCAATAATGTCCATAGGGCTCCTTCACCATTCCTGCTTTATGGTGCAGTTTAATACCATGACAGTACTTCATTTTAACATGGGTGGTTCTGTGTTTTTTTTTAAAGAATCTTTAAAAACCCCAGAAGACCGGTTAGCAGAGAAGAAGATCTTCTCCCAGCTGCTGAAGGTTGTGGATGAGCGCAGTGCCCTGATTGAGATGCAGGAGAAAAAGCGTCTCAGTGAACTTCTTGAGCATCCTCCATTGCAGGACCTCCGAAAGATAGGAAAGTGAGCTGGATGGAGACCTGCTGAGACCAGGGGCCTTTGACTTTGGAGCAAAGTGCCATTTTAGCACAGGACTAACCAGAGAAGCAAGCAGTGTTTTGGTGGCGCTATCCATGACAATGCAGCCAGATCTTTTATGCAAAGAAATGGCAGATGCTGCTCAAACTGGCATTGAAGCCACCATGGCAAAGGTCTGGACTGCACATCAGGTTTTTCTGCCACTGTATCCATCATCAGCCTAGTTCATGTCGGGGAAGCCCTGCTGGAGATGGGGCCCTTGCTCCAGAGACCGAATGTGTGCGCTGTATTATTTTTTATTTATTACATTTCTGTGCTACCCAGAAAATGGAAGCTTTCTGGACCGTTCAAAAAAATAAAATTTCAAAGCCATAAAATAGAAGAACCTATTCCCTATCCTCGGGTTAGGGCTTGATTGGCTACTCCTTGGAGAAGAACAAGCTGGATGTTGATGCTCCACATCAGCTACAGAGCTGTGAATGCTTGAAGGAGTAGCAAGCTAGGGAAGAATGCTTTTTTAATGTATTATTTTGCCAATAAGCCATTTTACTATAATGTATCTTAAGACTATGACCAGTGTAATGGCACGTTTGGAGAGCAATTATGGGTGGCAAAGCATTAGTAAGGAGAGGAAATACCATCAAGGCTTCAACTGTGATCCACTGCAGTACAGAGTTCTGCTGAACCTGAGGCTCTTCAGTCTGCAGTCGTTGTAACCCCTGTGTGTCAAAAGAGGGATCCTATTAAAAGAGCTCCTATAGCTGGGGAGAAGGGCTGCTCTCTGTGCCTGAATGGTATTTGTCTCGGTCTGTTTTGCCACTGCCAAGAGAGCAAATATCCCCACTGCTCAGAGCAGGTTTGAAACATACAGCAACCTGTCTGTGCTTATTTCTTCCAACCTAGGGAGAGAGCTATTCCGTTAGAGAAGATAAAAGAATGAAGGAAAAAACAACAACCCCAAAGCAAAACAGCTCATAAATGATCTTTTTAAAAAAAGGCTGTTGCTGGGCATTGACCAAGACTGGGCACAGCCTCCTAATTCGACATTTTAAAATGTTTCTTTCTTGGACAAAGAAAAGCAGCCCTTGCAAGTGGTAGCCTAGCCAAAGAATGTGCAGGAGGATAATTTTGGTGGGACTGTGGGCAAAATTTATAGCATGTGGGTCATGTTGGACCTCACAATTGCCCCAAACAAAAAGCTTTGGGGGATTTTTTTTAAAGGTGGGGAGGGTTTGTGAGAGCTCCCAACCTCTCTAAAGCAAAGCCCAAGAAAAGTCTTTTGGTCCCCAACGTTTTTGCCCTTGGAGGCCCTGTGAGTGTAGAGGGTCACAAAACGGCCGGGGGGGTGCATTTTGCCCATCTTTGCTCCGGACAGTTTCTGCCATTTGTACCACATGTCCACTCATAACCGTGTAATTCCCAGCTATAAAACCACCCCCCTATAACTTGAATGCGTAATGCTTCTAGAAGAAACACCACCTTGTGAGACAACATATTGTGCACAAGTGTGCATATATCATAAACGAATCCTGCAAGAAGGCTACAGGAGAACTGATGTTAACTTTGCTACTCTGTTGAGGAAATGTAGGATTTTGTTGTTGTTGTTATAACTGGAAGTTAGTCCTGTCTGGACTGCTGTAAACCACTGTTCTTTTTACAAACTGTTCTCCTGTTTCAATAAAGTTGCATGGAGTGGACAGGAAGTAGTTTTTCATTTTTAGATATCCAAGTTTATTTCACAACAGAGCAACTACTCTACAAATCTTTTTCTCACTGTGTTTTCTTGGTCTCATTCAAACATCAAAGAAGCTGTCTACTTATGGCACCTACATCTTGGTAGCTAAATGAGATTGACCCTGAAACCGTGCTATTCTGGCCTTCCGCTAGAAGGTAAGCAGATCTGAACTCCATAAGGTGCCTGAATGGCAGATAGCCAGGAAAGGTACTTAAAGTCTTCCGAACATCATTAAGGAAGAGCTATGGTTAGTAAATAAATACCAGGGTGCCCTAAACATGTTGTTCTATGCAGAACACCATTCCCTAAATGAGTTCAAGGAACTGTGTGCAAACAAAACAAAACTACCTACCAGCTTGCTTCTTATCCCAACCTTCTCAAAGCTGAGAATGAGGCTGTTGGCCAAAGTTTAGATATATAACCATAAGCACACAACACTGCTTTCCCATTCTGACTACAGAAAGCAGTGAGGAAAAAGGAGTCATTTCTTCTGATACCCCTGACCTTTTGCACACTGCATGGGATGGGTGGGGGAGAAAAGAGAGAGAGAGAGAGACAAATGGGCTCCTCAAGGGCAGGAGCCATATTCTCATGCACTGTGATCATCATCTTAATTCTTGTTCCAAGGCATTGTATGGTGAACTGCTCAGTGAAGGTTTGTGCTCCAGCATAGAATGCAGGGAGCCCAGGGTCTCATTCTGACATGCCCAGTTAAGTGATCACATCTAAGCAGGCTGGAAAGAACTTGTTATATGCAAACCAAGAAAATTATTGGCACTCAATATGAACAGTACCACTGGACTGGCTGAAAGGAGGAATGGTTTGATTTGTTACCAAGATGTCTCAGAAACCTGTACCAAACATGCATCCGCCGTAGATTTTTCTGGCTGATCTGGGCCAAATCTTTCAATTTCAGACCCCCCTCCCCTTGCTGAAATGGAAGCCAAAGGGGCACATTTTGTAAGAGTGCTGCAAAGAAAAGCACGCCAAAGAGGAGAAAAGGTTTGTGCACAGAAATGCTACATTAACTGGTTAATGTGGTCAAGGACAGGATTTTATCAGCAAATGCTGCCTTCTGCTCAGTTACCCCTGGAAACAGATTTATTCTGGTTCTATTCCAAGAAAAAAATTGAATACAACTAGTTGTTTTAATTTACAAGCTTTACAGTACAAAACCTGAGGCAGCTTGCATTTTATGCTGTTAGAACAATGTACCGGTAGTTGTTTTTTCCTTTAACAAATAGCTTTTTTGAAATAGCTGCAAGTTAACTGACATGTCATTTTAGTTTAAAAATTCCTTTTCTATGTAGTTGGCCTCACAGAAAAGGAATTTTGAACAGAGAGACCCATTCATACAAAATTGTATTGTCGTAAATGTCAGCTATAAAATCTTTAGACTATCAAATGCTAATTATTACTAACCACATTAAAAATGCCTCACTCTCAGAACAGGAATACGAAATATCCTGGAGTCCCTGAGCTACCCAGAGACCTACCCAGAACTAAACAAATTATTTAAAAAAACTCTTTCAGGCCTTCTTGTAGGCATGGGGGCAATTTTGCCAGGTCTTCTTTAATCTCTTTGGCCCGGAAGAGGTCCTCTTAGGCCCAAAATTAGAAGCCACACACACAAACTCAAGCCTAAAACTGCTCCTAGGGAGTCAACAATGTGGTGAAACTGTTCCCACATGACCAACAGGAACAAGAGGGATTTCATGTTTTTAGTTTTTAAAAAACCTGTTTTATCAAAAATACTGGAAAAATGTTGAGGAGAAGGGATAGCCTTGGGGGTGTCACATGCACAAGACTGCCCCCCCGTGCAGACCCCAGGTGCCCTGTGGGCTGCACTTGTACCCGCTCTCGCTTCAGAAGGAAGCAGCACAGGAAGAACAGGAAGCTCCCCCTCACACCCACCAGAAAGCCTCTTGGTCCCTGATTACAACAGCTGGAGATACCCAAGGTTTTAGCCAGAGCTTATCTTGTCCTGGAGTGTCTGGAGGGCCAGGCGCATTTGGTCCTCTGTCCCCTGCAGCACCTTCACTTCAATGGTATGGAAGAGGTAGAGTCCAGTCGAGAGAAGCAACACCAGCACGGCCAGCAGGCTGAGCAGGGAGAAGGAGAACTTGGGGAAGGGCTGCTGGAGGGCTCCACCAAACATAGAACTGAGGCCCATGGCTCCTTGCATGAGCAGCAGCAGAACAGCGAGGACGGCCATGCGGCCACAAGAGTACTGCTGGCGCTCAGCTGAGTGTAGCCCCACTCGCACCTCCATCCGGGCTTCATTTAAGATGTCCACCAGCACTGGCTCTACAAAAAAGCAGAAGATACATACTGAAACCAAACAGGGAGGCCACTAATGATATTGTCTTCGGTCCAGTTGTCTCCAAGATTATAGAGATCAGATGCTGTTTTGTCCAAAGGAGGTTTTCTTGCCTAGGGCAGCTAGATGGAGCGAACTAACCTGCCTGCACCCCCCTCCCCTCAATGAAACTCAGTCACTCACCAATTGTGGGATGATTTAGCTCTTCCTGTGGTGGTTTTCTAGCCACAGACAGAGTGACCATGACAGCTTCATGGTCAGAATAAGGAATGTCTTTAGTGGGAGTTGTTCCTGTGGTGGTCTCATGGCTATTGCATCTGACTTCATACTGAGACATAGTCTAAAAGAAGAGACATCAGACATGATAGGAGGTTGCCTCTTGGTTGTAGGGTGTGAACATAATAAGAAATGCCTCCAGAAATTTTACATTTAGACAGTGTTGAAAAGCGTTCATAAGGAGGGATGAATTGAATTCTGTAGCAAGGGATATATCTAGACTAACAGGGCATAATTTTGGAGACCTCATATAAGGAATTTACCAGCAGAAATACAACGGCATTTCACCACCCATCCCCAGTTCAAGCTGAAAACACTGAGATGGACTTTGTCAGTGGTCAGCATCCAACTCAGATCTGAGCGTATGTATTATTCACTTGTTTCCTGAGCTCTGTATACAGTACTACAGTCTCTGTGCACACATACCTTATAAAGAATGTAGTCAATACGAATCCCTTGAGGATAACACTTTAGTTCCTTCTTGCTTGTGAAGCGGTTGGCAGGCAACAGAGTAGAGCCATCCTCACAACCCTGAGAGCAAGAGGGGGATATCAATACTCTCAACAAAAGATCACAACACTCCAGCACATCTGGCTGAGGCTACGGTGGCTGTATCTTGTAAACAGAGAAAGGGAGACATCCATGTGGCCAAAATAGATCATACTAACTATACTAAGGATATCAAACTCTTAGATTAAAAAAAAGCAAATGCTTCGTTTTTCCAACGGATGGAAAAGGTTCTCTTCGGATTACAATTCCTCTAATTTCTCACCAGCATGACTGTGACCCTGCTGGCTGGAAAATGCTGGGAGCTGTAATCCACAAAAGTGGATCCTTCTGAGTTCTGATAATTTCTTACATAGCAGTGAACACATACTTGCCAACTTATTTTGATCAGAAACACACACACACACACACACACACAAAGAGAGAGAGAGAGAGAGAACACCTCTCCTCTGTTGACTATTTTGTCCAGATACTCACCACCATCTCCTCTGTTGACTGTTTTGTCCAGATACTCACCACCACCTTCTCAGCAGCAATGAAGGAATCCCGGAGCCCTGCCCATCCTCGCAGGAGCCGAACACCAACATCCTCTGAATGCATATTCAGATCCCCACCCAGCAGCACTACATCAGCCCCTTTTGATGTATGCCTGGGAAGATGAGACAGTGTCACAGAAACAGAAGGAAACAAACAGCCCCACTGCTCTTGCAATGGTGCTTTACAGAGTATGTTACATCCAATGTTAGTCCCAAGTAAAGCAGAATCAATGAAACATGACTTCAGTTTATTTATGATCCATTGATTTCGATGTGTATGCTCTACTTGGGGCTTACATTACATTTAGGACTTCTTCTTTTTTCCTGCAGATACTAACCATTAGATGAACTGAGTATTTTCCCAAGTCAGAGGTCTTGACCACTGCTAAGGAGGGAACTAAGGAGGATCAGGTGGGAGCCAAAGGACACGGCACATAAAATTGTGTCCCATGAAGCATCCACTGAAGCACACACCTCCTTTTTTAAAAGTTACTTACTGTATAAACTGGCCGAGTTCCCAAGCTTGAACTACACGATGGGACAGATAAGCATCCTTCTCTCGACAGTACTCTGCATGGAGCTAGGAAGGAAAACACACACACAAGATTCAGTAAGTACAGAATACAGCAAACCACAAGGCAGCATTGTCTGTAAAGACTTCAGCCTTTGTGCCCACCTCAATTACAAAATAAAGGTTTTTTTTTAAATTTATTGCATTTATACTTTGCTTTTACACTAACAGATAGCTTTAAGGCAGCTTATACATTTTTTAAAAGAATGAAAACATATAAAACTACATTTAGCTAAAACTTTAGTAAAATCACATAAAACTGCAGCACCATGAAATCATTAAAATCAAAGAAAATGCATTAAACAAATTAAACTCAAATGACAATACCCTGGGCAGACTAAACAGCACATGCCACTCTTAAAAGGTGTGTTTTATTTCCCTCTTGAAATCAAACAGATAGCAACTTGAAAGGGAGTGCATTCCATAGTTTGTACAAATGTGTACCTCTAGTCACTTTCTAATTTCAAAGTAAGAATATCAAAGTAGAAAGAGCTAACAGCATCTCCCTGGGTATCTTAAGCTAAAAGGGTGAAACAATACAAAAAAGTGTTTGCCAGATAGTAGGAATTCACTGAAACACACATAAACGATCCAAGTAAAAAGAGTGATCTGTTTTGGGTGCAAACCTAAGCTATGGCTGATCAGCGACCTCAGAGTATCAAATAGCCATAGTCAGGTTTGCTTCTGAAACCTTGCTGGAAGATTAAGAGGAAGAGCCTAAATGAGGCTTATTCACATAATGCTAAACTGTAGCTTTGTATATCTTGGAATTTTTCTTTATACAGGCATTTTCTCAAAAATACTCTGGGATAATTGTATCTTCTGAGCATGAAACAGACCTTTAAGACACTTCCAGAAACTACTTTTGGTCTTAGGCAGACCACGTATGGCCAAGAACCCTTTAAGAGCAGACTGTGGAAGTGATTCTTGTTAAGCCTGCCAACTGTAGTAGATTGTCTTACACATTTCATTCTGCTGTCTCTGCCTATTCTTTTCAAAGCTAGCAATTACTTCAGAGAAACTTTCACACACAGAAAAGAGTTTACAGACTTTGAAACGGAAGTAACAGCTTCTGAAGGCTGCTGCTTAAGGGAATGGTCTGTGTTACAATTTCAGCTGTTCAATCTGCCATGGATTTCACCAAGATAGCAACGTCCTGATTAGTGGGGATGGGGACAAGCATTGAGTACTAATACTGCAAACATTTGAGAAAGAAAGAAAGGAAGGAAGTGATGCAATGGAGGGAGAAAGTAAAGAGTCAAAGATAAAGACAACACAAAAACAGCTGTTACTTTGTCTGTTTTGGCAGATTTTCCCTCCTTGAGAAGGTGTCAATAAAGAGAATTCAAAACCTTGGTTTGCCATATGTGCCCCCTGCTGGCGGGTAAGTCGCTTAAACGGCCAGCCCCACATATTCAGGACCTGGTACAGTTAAATAAAAAAAGAACTAGATATTCTGTAACCACCAAGTTTGTCTAGTCATGTCAAAAGTGGATACTGCTGTCCTGCATCCTACCGTAACACTCAGAATATACCCAGTCTATTTCTGAAACTAAGCTTGGTCAACTCTGGTTAACAGATAAATAGGAGACCAAGAGGGAAAACTGGCTTCTCCAGGAAAGGCTCACTGAAAACGCCGGCCTGTCATCTTGGAGAGCTGCAATGAGTTAGAATACAAACCAGTGAGTTAAACAGACCAAACGGCTGGTTCAGTAGAAAATGGCTTCCAGCGACTCAGTTCAGTGCTCCTCACACCTAGGCTCCCCTTTCCTCAACCATTTTTACTTACTCACATTGCTCTGTATATCTAACTTGGTGACAAAGTTATTCATAAAATCTGAAACCAATAAAAGAATTACGCAAACGAACTCACATGGGTGACATAGACATTGAAAACAATGCCCTGGATCTTTAGTACTACCAGCCCCACAGATTTGCCACCAAACCAGTCTCCATGCTGGAACTGTGAAGAGAAAAGTGTATGAGTCACACATAGGCACAGCTGGTTAAGATGAAAACGTAAGGACAAAAGGATGCACTTGGCTATCTCCCCCATAGCGAGATGTAGCTAATTCTTACTCACCATGTACGGATAGCCATTCACAGAATACTGGTACAGGAAGGTGTCCAGGATTTGGTGTTTGGAGAAGATACAGAGCCCGCTGCCAATCACCCCACTATAAAAAAGACAAATAGACCCCGAAGTCATCACCTAAGGTGAGGCAACACTGTACCTCCTCATGCAATGTTACCACTTCACTCTCACCTACCATTTGGTCCAAAACTAGTGGTTGTTACTGGGGGTGGGGGCTAGTGTCTATAGAAAGAAAAACAGGGTTCAAGATCCTTTGAAGTGATTCTTGGCTCTACCAAGGAATTGAGGTCTTGTGATGCCAGCAAGGAGAAAACTGGAAGAAGATGTTGCGAAACCCATTTCCAAGGTAATAGGATACTGGAGCCAAGAACAGGAGTCAACCAAAACATAAAATTAAAACAGCTTCCCCCAACAGAGTACTCTTTAGATGTTTTGGACCACAACACTTATGAATCCCAGAGAGCACATCTGATGATCAAGGGAACATTGGAATTGTAGACCAAAAAGTCTGGAAGACACTAAGTTGAGTAAAGGCTGACTAACCAAAAAGACTGTAAAAGATGTGATGATGTTTAGTACCCACCTAAAATCCACGGCCTTTACAAGAGGTATCTTAAGAACACAGAAAAACTACAGAACTTGAAGCTCCATCAGGGAGTAACTGTGAAATACCACTCTCAGGCCATACCTTGGACTAGAAGGCAGACCCATATCTGTGCGTGTTTTATGTGCTGTCAAGACACCTCTTACTTACAGTGACCCTAGCAGGGGTTTACAAAATGAGATATGTTTAAGGAATGGTTTTACCGATGTCTGTCCCGCAGTGAATTGCCATGACCAAATAGGGATCTGAGGCCAGGTTCTTGTTCATTATTCTATCCCCTATATCACACTGGCTGCTACCAATATCTGGCAGGTAGTTACTGCCATCAGCCCATTCCTCTAACTGTGGCTTAGAGGAATTCCAGAGCAAGGAGCCAGGTTTTCACCTGGAAAAGAAGTAATCACCAGAAGTCACAGACTGGCAGCTAATTCCTCTCCTGTGCTCTTGGAGGCATACTCCCCACAAACATGGCATTAGGACTTAATAGCTATGAAGCTACTCTTTTAGATTTAGGTAACAAAGCCACATCCTAAACTTCTTGTCTACATTAAGAGTAAAGCTTCATTAAAAGAGTATAATGAAAAACAAAAAGGGGGAGCCGAGTATATGCAAATGGCTTTAAGGGGGAAAATGAACTTAATAACCTACACTAAACTCCTTGATATAAATTGCTTACAGACTGCATACCTGCAGCATCCATGGTTGGCTGGGAAGTAAGGCAGGGATAAAGGGTGATAAAGGAGCATTTTCAACATTAATGAAATTTGTTATGGAGGAGGAAGCAGAGTAGCTGGCCAACTTAATTCTTCAAACAGGTGAAGGGCATATCTACATAAAATTTCTCCTCATCTTTTTTGCTGGGAGATGGAGCTAGAAATTAATATCAAGCTGACACCTTGAGCTAGCTGTAGCTGAAGGTGTCAGTACATCAACACTGCTTTGTGGAGCTGGAAGCTCAGAAAAGCCAGCTAGCATTCAAGTGGTACTATGGGTGCCAGCTGTCCTAGCCAAGGATATTTTGCAGGTTTAGAGGAAGGGATGCCAAGAAGCAGATCAGTGTTACACTAACTAGCCACTAACTTCACAATACAGTCTCAACATTCCTAATGTCACCATGTGTATCATCCACAGATGAAAATCTGCAGGTTGGTTTTGACATCAGGTATGTGTTGTCATGCATCTAACCCAGCTAGCCTGCATTGTGTTGTATGTTAGCATACATGTTACATACGACCCATTCTGTAATTGAATATGGAATCCGATTGTTATGGTCAATGTATGGACTGTACCTTGTCTTCTGTAGAAATGCCACTCACCAGTTGTCCTAGCACTAAATAAGTTGCCCTGTACTACAGTATTGTCATTCTTATTATAAGGCGTAAGAAGTATACTTGGGCTTTTCCTCTTGTTATCTGATACAACAGAGCAGGGGATCTAGTAAACGAATACAGTAAGATAAGAAATGGAAGCAGAAACTTAGCCACCCAACTCAATTTGATACAAGTAAGTTTCTGCACTCTGCTGCATCAGCTCAAAGGAGATACTAATGCTTTCAGGAACCAGCTGCACATTCACAATCATTTGCCTCTCACTTGGAACCAATGAGTATAAATGACCCCAACAGAAGTGTGTAACAACACATCCTTCTGAAACAGATGTACAGACCTTTCAGTCAACCTGCCCCACCTTGTTTTTCAAGAATCATTAAGCAACAAATATCATTCGAGAGCAAAAGATAATTATCTGTTGGGAGACTATGGTGTCTATATGAATGCAAATGGTAAATTTAAGTGCAGTTAATAGAAGCACAAACTTTCAGGAAAATATCTTATCAGCAAAAGCCTCAGCACTTTCTAAGGCCAAGGTGTTTCTCTTAACTTGTCTACTTACATGTTTTCAACAAATCAACCATACAACAATTAATCATTTTCCATCAGTGCCTGCGAAGCTCCCTGCATCTTTATAAAGTAATATCTAAACAGTCAGCCTTATCAGATCTGTGCTCATCCATTGCCACTGGGAGATCAAAGGGCAGTCTGGTTTATGAGATCATCCAAGCAACTTTTTACCTTTTGAAGTAGTGGGAAGAAGGGTAACGGGCACATAGTTTCTTTTTCAGCCCCCAATAGTCCTTCTCACTCCATACCTGGAAAAACAGAGAGGCTATAATCACACTAACCAGAGGACAGGAATGGCAAGCTAATTTGGGAACTAAGAACCCTTTTGCCAAGCATCTCCTCCATAAACTATGTTTATTAATCAGGTTTAGTTAGTACTATGAAGTGTGTGCAGTGTTTCAAGACTGCATACCAACCCAGTGAGACAGGGATTTCAACTCCAGCCTAGCAAGATCCATTGTAGCAGCTCAGGTCCTCACCTCTTGTAAGAGTGCCAAATCAAATCCCTCCTGGCTGAGGACATCACCAATCAGTTCAATGCGTTCCTGCTGTAATTTGCTCAGGTATCGAATACCCCTGTAAGGGGTGGAAAGGAAAGGAAGATAAGTGAAACTGCAGCCTCAAAAAAGAATCAACACTTACATGTATTCTAGTCCTTCATACTTCAGAGGTGGTAAAGAAGAGAGAAAGTCAATTTTGCATTACATTGAGAGCCACTTATTGCACTGAGGGGAACCCTAATGAGGGCTTCAAGGGACCATGGTTACCTGGGGCCACATCAAAGCAAACAGCAAAGCGTGCTGCTTATATACCGCCCCACATAGCACTTCAAGCACTCTCTTGGCAGTTTACAAGTTAATTATGCAGGCTACACATTGCCTCCCCAGCAAGCTGGGTACTCATTTTACCGACCTCGGAAAGATAAAAGGCTGAGTCAACCTTGAGCCAGCTACTTTGGATTGAACCCCAGGTTGTGAGCATAGTTTTGGCTGCAGTACAGCAGTTTAACCACCGCACTATGAGGCTCCTCTCAGAAGAGATAGATTTAATGTCCCCATCTGCATTTACACAGACACTCAAATACAGTGGTGCCTCGCATAGCGAGGTTAATCCGTTCCGGATTAACTCTCGCTATGTGAAAACATCGCTGAACGGAACATAAAACCCCATTGGAACGCATTAAACATCGTTTAATGTGTTCCAATGGGCCCTAAACTTACAGTTCAGCGAAGTTTCCTCCATAGCAGCAGCCATTTTCGCGCCCTCGGTAAGCGAGGGGAGGGCGCGAAAACGCTGCGCGCGGCCATTTCGGGCGTCCGGCGGCCATTTTAGAACCGCCAAACAGCTGATCCGCGGGCATCGCAAAGCGAAGATCGGTAAGCGAAACGCTTACCAATCGTCGCTATGCGAGTTTTGCCCATTGGAACGATCGGTATGCCTCCGCATTAGCGATCCCGAAAAGGGGATTGCTATGCGGATTCGTCGTTGTACGGTGTGCTCGTTAAGCAAGGCACCACTGTATATTATACACAAAGTCATATTTAATAGTAGGCCCGGTTGGGCCTTGAGATATACCAAAATGGCTTGGAAGTAATCAGAAAAAGTCAGATTTCCTAGCAAAACACCAACCTCTGCTTGAAGGCAAACAAAAGTACTAAAAGAGCCATCAAATATTCAAAGGAGAACACGGACCAAACTTGTTTTCTACTGCTCCAGAGAATAGGACCCTAAATACAGATTTAAATGACAGGAAAGGGAACTCCAACTAAATGTCACAAAGAACTATTTGTTTTGACAGTGGAAGGCACTCTCTGAGAATGTCATGGGCTCTCTTTCACTGGATGTTCTTAATCAGTGGTTGGATCTGCATCTATCAGGGATGCTGTAACCATGGATTTCCTGTGTCAGCAGGTTTTGGACCAGATGATCCTTAGAACTCTTCCAACTCTGCAGAACTATGATGCCATGATAGTATCTGGCTCAGTTCAGATAAGCCATGGAAGCTCCTCAGCACAGATCAGAATACAGTCAAACATGGGAACTTATTATTGTCTGAGGATGTCCTTAATTTTCTGAGCAGGACTTCCTTCAGACCTATGGAACGCTACAGGCAAGAATGTCTTTGTGTGGATTCTGCCCCACCTGGCATAGGCAGAGAGGAAAAGAAAATACAGTGGCCCTCATCACCCAGGAGACTTCTGCCAGCTATGCTCCCAATCCGGAGGGTATCTTGTTAATAAAACACAACTGTACTTCTGCTGAGAGAATACTAGTCCATTCCTCACACTGTATGCTATATATTGCACCATGATTAAATCTAACCTTGCTGGCTTCAAACAAAAACATAAACTTACCAGCAATTGAGGTCAAAGATGCGTAGCTGCAGCAGACGGTCCCTGTCCATCCCTGTGCGAATGAGACAATGTCAAGGTGGGATCCAGTTGCACTCTGCTCGATTCAAAACATCAATCTGTTCTGCCTATAGCTCTCTGGCTTTGTCTTTTCCCTTTGCCAAAGGATTATGACAGCAATGTTGTAACGAAGAGTTGTATGCAAAAAGTTATTATTAAGGAAGGAAGGAGGAGGCAGGGCACTTACTGGTTGGCACCAATCTAACCCTGAGCCTGTGGTCTTGTGTATGAGGACAGGGTGTGCCTCTCTCCGTTAAACTCTGCAGCAACAGCAGATAGAAGTCCTTAACAGAAAGAGGAAGTGCAAAGATGACCTGCAGCTTAGCAGGGTTATGTAGCATTAAAGGGACATCTTCAGGTCAAATGAGATGAATCTTTTGCACTTTCTGGAACTGCCAATAAAATGTACTCTATAATGAAGTTGCTGCTACCATTTCCACCTTATTGCTGATAAGCATAAGCAAACCTACATCTTTCAAAGACCATAAATTTTTATGATTGTGAGACACATTGTTGTAATTATCACAGAATTAAGTCCTTTTTTAAAAAAAGGAGGGGGGAGAACTGTTTGAATAGTTCTATGGGTTTGCTTACTTCTTTTTAAACATATTTCATGTGTTTCCCAGGTAGAATCTAAAGGCCTTTGTGCAAAAATATTTCAAACCATACAGGTCAGGCTACAATATTGTCTTTGGTTCAGTGCCACAAAACCATTCTTGCTGGCAAACTTTTAATGCGACGTTGCAAAGGCAAGAAGTTAACTACACCCAAGATGATGACACCCAATCCATAAAGCCAAGTCTTGCATTTCTTTTCAGGATCTGTTTTGAACCATGCCAGACAGCTTTACACCAACGAGTGAACCTCTAGTACAGTATTTTGCTACCCCGATGTATCACCTCCCCTTAAGGGTACTCTTGGGGTTTTATTGGCTAGACTAGAGATTAGGCACTCAGTATGATTTGCATAAAATTTAGAAACAGATAGTGGTCAAGAAGACTGCTTTCCAAACTTGCACTCTCCTGCTTGTGTTCTTCCCGGGCAGTTTCTTCCCAATTGGTATGACTCCATGTAACTTGTAATAGAAGAATGTGAACTGTGTTTATTTTCCTTCCTAAATTTATAGCAGTGGTTATATGAGTTTTAAAGCAATACACACGCTTACCAACATGTTGAACATCTGTCAGTTTGTCAAGATCTGTCTACAGAAACCATAGTGAGGCATAAATACCTCTTATCTTGCACCTCATCCATTTCCTGCCACTGAACACAATTTATTTGACATTAGATTTCCTGATTTCTTCAGGTGAAACCCCCTCACAACACAGAATTCTTGCAATGTTTCTTCCTGCTGTTTAGAGAAAAGCCTTCAATTTTTCATTACTGGACAGCAAGCCAGCCGGCGACTTAACCTTATTTTCTTTAACAAGATATGCACAGGGTACAAGTGTACACATAAGCTCCGCTGTTGGACAGACTAGGTTGCATATCCAAACACCTGTCATGCACACGGATTAATTTCTTCATGTACAAGAAACAAGCAGCTTAATCAAGGGGAGGGCTGAGGTGTAAGGAGTGAAAGCTAAAATATTCTTTCCACCAAAACCCTGCAACCCTATGCTATCATAGATAACACACATCAATTAAGCATGCTTATTCAAATCATTTAAGTGCATGTATAAAGCCACGATAATTCCCCTTAAAATCACATTTGCAAAAGATTTTAAAATGTAAAAATGTAAGCCCAGTGGAAAAGTGTCCTAAATACATAGAAACAACGGGAAAGCTGCTTGCATCAGCTTAGAATCACTTCCCCTCGGCACACACAGAAAAGTTAGAAGCCCTGTAAGGTAAAATTAAGTGTGCTGTTATTGTCTCTGGGGAGAGCCATAATGAAGTTGGACTTCACGGCAGGTGGAGAAGGCATGGGTGATCCAAACGAGACCCCGTTGTCAAAGGGCTCATCGTGTTAATCTGCTGCTAAGAACAAAATGAAAGGAGGAGGGGAAAAGGAAAGCAAAATGTGCCTTGGTACTTTTAACTTACTATATTACTGTATACCAGATCCAGCCCGAGATGAAGCCTATCTAACTCTGGCTGGCTGGAAAAGAGGAGAAACTGAAACAGAAGCAAATGATCCCCACCTACACACACACCCCCAATACATAATGATAAAGCCTGGATAATTCTTGGGAAGCCGCCACTTACCTGACCGGACGCGATATATTTACGCCCAGGCCAATCGACTTCAACGTCAAATTTCATTCACTTCCTCCTCATTATTTTCTCTGGCCGACAAGAATCCTGCAACGGCAGCGAGCCGGCAGTGCCTAACTGGGATGCGCGCGGTGCATCCTGGGAGTTGTAGGCTTTTGCTTTGGGCCTTATGTTACTGAAGCTAAAACCCCTTTTCCCTTCGCAGTCGGTGTTCCACGAGATGGCGCTGCCGGATGAAACTGAACAAAATGCCGAGTCTCGAAGAAGCGCTACCTTGAAATAAATCGTGAACTACGAGTACCGAAATACTTTGCGACGGATCACGGCGCCATCGCTTTGATCACCTCTACCCTTTTGTCTCTTTTGGTCCCTTAAGACTAGAAAACTTAAAAAAAACAGGTGTTTAAATTTATAGCCTTTAGCTCTAGCATATTATTGCAAACTGTGTTGCAGACCTGAACAATCTTGTTGTGTCCGGATGTACATGCATCTGTTTCCCCCGCATAATTAACGTGCCAGACTCCTATTTTCGAGGTTACGCAGAATTAAACCACACAATTTGGGTCTTTCCTTTTTTGTCAAGATGGTTGTATTTTTCAGGACCCTAAAACTAGATCAAAGTGTAAAAAAAAAATCGGCACCCGAATATTTTCTGCACGTAAGTATCCATCATATACTTACTTTCGAATAGAAGCCATTGACACAATAGGAAATTAATGTTAATAAATCATGCTTGGAAGCAAAGTGGAAGTGTTCTAGGAGTGCAGAAATGAATAAACCTTGCACAACATTTATTGCTATAGATGGCTGAAGTTTTTTAATGCTGTCTGCCCTCATCAAACATCGGGAATGTCAGTTGACGATATCAATCATCCTCCTTGGTTCATCCATCGGCAGCTGATACATCAAGGTCTAAAAAGCATTCATAAAAAGGTGCAGTGAGGACTGGAATGCTGGCAATCAAATGAGCAACAGCCTCTGGGGCAAGAAGTCAGGAGGGGGATTCCTCTAGCTAGCCAAGATACTTTAGTATCCCATTGCTGCCTGAGGCAAAGGACAAACTGAACACCAGTCACTCATCAATACTGCTAGTACAGAAACTAACTGTATTGGCCGGTAATTTCTTCAATGCCTAGTAAGACAGAAAACTAGCTTAAGGGTGCACATCAGCTAATGTGAAGTGGTCACCTAGCTCTCTCAACATCTGAAGGGCCACAGGATCCTCACAGAACACCATCCCGCAGAGTTTTTTGTTTGGTTATCTGAAGTTTGTTGTTGGGAGGTAATCATGACCCGTATTTCTCTGATGATGAGGTGTTCCTGCCCTTCCGTCCTTTCTTCTCACAAGCAATCTGGCAGACGTTATGTCCAACAAAAAATTATTTCGCTTTCCATGTCCTTCCAAGTGAAGATCCATGAGCCTCAAACTGCAATTCACAAAACCTTGTCTCTCTCTTTTTGAACTCTTGCCTGAGAGGATCTTCTTTCTTTCTTTCTTTCTTTCTTTCTTTCTTTCTTTCTTTCTTTCTTTCTTTCTTTCTTTCTTTCTTTCTTTCTCTCTCCATCTATCTATCTATCTATCTATCTATCTATCTATCTATCTATCTATCTATCTATCTATCTATCTATCTATCTATCTATCTATCTATCTATCTATCTATCTAATGATATTTCTATGCCACCTTTCCCTCCAAAAGGACCCAAGGCAGCTCACCCTGTGCTAGTGGTAAACCAGATCACCAAAATATCTGGAGCCCTATCTCCCCACTTTGTGCCAAGGCCTCCAGAACTCCTGGCAGAAAGGGCAATATTAAACTGCCACGTTTACTGCTGAGGGATCCATTTTCTTGGAATGCATCCTGCGCATGAAGAGGGGCATGTAAATGGTCACTGGGAGATCAGGATCAGATGCTGTAAATATGAAGTAGCTGCTTTGTTGTTTCTGCTCCAGTTTGGGAGGTTTAAACTGAAGACCCGTGGGATGGTTACCTGATTGAGCCATACGTTGGTGGTCATGATCTGCTCACGTTCATTCTAGGGCAGAAGAAAAAGAAAGATTGCTATTGAACATATGGATAAGACACATCCCGAAGAAATCTTTCTGCACGTAAGTATCCATCATATACTTACTTTCAAATAGAAGCCATTGACACAATAGGAAATTAATGTTAATAAATCATGCTTGGAAGCAAAGTGGAAGTGTTCTAGGAGTGCAGAAACGAATAAACCTTGCACAACGTTTATTGCTATAGATGGCTGAAGGTTTTTAATGCCTCATCAAACATCAGGAATGTCAGTTGCCGATATCAGTCATCCTTCTTGGTTCATCCATCGGCAGCCGATACATCAAGGTCTAAAAAGCATTCATAAAAAGGTGCAGTGAGGACTGGAATGCTGGCAATCAAATGAGCAACAGCCTCTGGGGCAAGAAGTCAGGAGGGGGATTCCTCTAGCTAGCCAAGATACTTTAGTATCCCATTGCTGCCTGAGGCAAAGGACAAACTGAACACCAGTCACTCATCAATACTGCTAGTACAGAAACTAACTGTATTGGCCGGTAATTTCTTCAATGCCTAGTAAGACAGAAAACTAGCTTAAGGGTGCACATCAGCTAATGTGAAGTGGTCACCTAGCTCTCTCCCCCCACCCTTGGTGCCTCAATAGGCCACCTCATTCTCTTTAACAAGCTCAGTCAGTGTTGGATGATAGGAGTTGTAGTTCAACATCTGAAGGGCCACAGGATCCTCACAGAACACCATCCTGCAGATGTTTGGTTATCTGAAGTTTGTTGGGAGGTATCATGACCCATATTTCTCTGATGAAGAGGTGTTCCTGCCCTTCCATCCTTTCTTCTCACAAGCAATCTGGCAGATGTTATGTCCAACAAAAAAATAATTTTGCTTTCCATGTCCTTCCAAGTGAAGATCCATGAGCCTCAAACTACAATTCACAAAACCTTGCCTCTCTTTTTTTGAACTCTTGCCTGAGAGGATCTGCTTTCAGATATCTATCTATCTATCTATCTATCTATCTATCTATCTATCTATCTATCTATCTATCTATCTATCTATCTATCTATCTATCTGTCTGTCTGTCTGTCTGTCTGTCTGTCTGTCTGTCTGTCTGTCTGTCTGTCTGTCTGTCTAATGATATTTCTATGCCACCTTTCCCTCCAAAAGGACCCAAGGCAGCTCACCCTGTGCTAGTGGTAAACCAGATCACCAAAATATCTGGAGCCC